AAAGGAAATAAAAAAAAAAACAAAAATAGGAAGAGAAAAAGAGAGAGAGAGAGAGAGAGAGAGAGAGACAGAGAGAGACAGAGAGAGAGAGAGAGGGAGGAAAACTGACCTCTTTAGTAGCCGTTTGCTCTTTTTCAGTATCGGTTCTGGTTTGATCTGAAAAACAGCATTTAAATTCAGATTCCACAACTTATTAATTCAGGAAACATGACATCTAGAGTCAGTAATGTGCTGTAAATAAGTGAAGTAATGCTTTCCCAGAAAAAAAATATCATTTTTATTTTATATATGTATGTATATATGTATATATATATATATATATATATATACACACACACATGTATATTAATCATATGGCCTTCATATCAATGTATATTGCAAGCCAATTTCAATTAAAAAAGAATTTCAGTGCCGAATGATTCATTTGTTTGAGTGAATAATTTAAAGATTCAATTATAAAGACAGTTATTTGTTTTTTTTTCTGAATAAATTGCTCCTGAATTGGTGCGTCCTGCAAACTCTGCTCTGTGCAAGATTTCCCGTATCCTCATCTCAAGGTACACTGAAAGCCAATTTCAGTAAAAAAAGTTTAAAATAAAAACGGCTATATTTGTTCTGCTATATCGGGCAAATTCAGACAGTAGAAACATTTCTAGGCAAACAGCTTTTCCAGGCTTTGAATTTTTTTTATTGTTGTGAAATACTGAAAAATTAATTATTATAATGTGATACTGTTGAAAATATCATTGACAAAAATAGTTAAATTAAATAATAACATTTGAATACAGTTTTGTATACGTAAGCAGTCTCTACTGTTTAAATATCAGGAACATTTAAAATAGACTTTTCCAGGTGTAGAGAAGTAATGAAAACGATCACTAGTCATTTTCTAATACTACTATTTCTATAGTTAACAAACAGTTTTCTGTTCTGCTCAAAAATATTTCATCTGCCAGATGTAATATTGTAATATGTAATTCTGAACAGTAAAACCATATTTGTGAGTTACTATTTGAATATATATATATATATATAAAACATTTTCCTCGCTCCTTTGTCCTCCATCAAGTCTAACAGCTGACGACTTTGCCACATTCTTCATTAATAAAATTACAAACCTCAGTGCACAATTTGTCACACCACAAACGGTCAAATACATCTTACCAGCAAACATACACTCGTTTTCATCCTTCTGTCCACTCTCTGAGGCAGAAGTCTCTAAACTCATCCTTTCCGATCATCCTACTACTTGTCCGCTTGATCCTATTCCATCTCATCTCCTTCAAGCCATTTCTCCTGCCGTTGTACCTGCACTCACTCACATCATTAACACATCCCTTCACACTGGTGTTTTTCCCTCAACATTTAAACAGGCTCGTATAACCCCACTTCTAAAGAAACCCAATCTTAACCCATTTCTTTTAGAGAACTACAGACCGGTTTACCTTCTTCCTTCAGGATGTCTAACAGACATTTGTTGTTGGATGACGGACCATCACCTTCAACTCAACCTGGCTAAGACAGAACTGCTTGTGGTTTCAACAAACCCATCACTTTATCAAAATTTCACCATCCAGTTAGGCTCATCAACCATAACTCCTTCAAAAACAGCTAGAAACCTTGGAGTTGTGATTGATGATCAGCTGACTTTCTCAGATCACATTGCTGAAACTGCCCGGTCCTGCAGATTTGCTTTATACAACATCAGGAAGATCAGGCCCTTTCTTTCAGAACATGCAACACAACTCCTTGTTCAAGCTCTTGTTCTGTCCAGGCTGGACTATTGCAATGCTCTCTTGGCAGGTCTTCCAGCCACTTCTATCAAACCTCTACAATTAATCCAAAATGCAGCTGCAAGATTAATCTTTAATGAGCCGAAAACAATGCACATCACACCTCTGTTCATCAGTTTGCACTGGCTACCAGTAGCTGCTCGCATTCAAGGCATTAATGTTTGCCTACAAAACCATCACTGGCTCTGCACCCCTTTACCTAAATTCATTACTTCAGAGTTATGTGCCCTCTAGAAGCTTGCGTTCTGCAAGTGAACGTCGCTTTATTGTTCATCCCAAAGAGGCACAAAATCACTTTCACTGACATTTTCATTAACTGTTCCCTCCTGGTGGAGTGACCTGCCCAACTCAATCCCAGCAGCTCAGTCCTTAGCCATCTTCAAGAAACGACTAAAAACATCCGTTTCATCTTTATTTGACCCTCTAACTCTAGCACTCTCTATTTTATTTTAATTCTACTTTATTCTATTTATCTTTAAAAAAAAACAAAAAAAAACATTAGTTTCTATTTTTTTCTATTCTATCTGCTTGTTTTTCTTTTTGTGTATGTGTGTATATATATATTTAAAAAACAAAACTTTGCTACGTGTACTGCGTTAGGCTAACCGAGACTTGTCATTTGCACTTACATATTGTCGGTCTTTTGTTCGTTTTTATTGCTTCTATTGTCCTCATTTGTAAGTCGCTTTGGATAAAGGCATCTGCTAAAGGACTAAATGTAATAGTGGTCGACCGATATGGGTTTTTGATAGCCGATACCGATGCCGATATCTTGGAAAGCAGGGTAGCTGATATAATTTTATTAGTTTAATTCATATTTAAGAAATCATTTGAAAATGGCTTAAAAAATAAAAGTGTAAAATAAACAGTTATACTCTAGAAGACAAAGTATTTTTTCACAAATAAATAAATATTTAATAAAAATATAATTAAAAAGGAAGTAAACACTGTAACCAACAGAGCACTCGGTATTCTGGGAAGTTTGTGTGCATTGGGAATCATTTTTTTCAAATAAAGCCAATGTAACACTCATTTTACACACAGCACACAGTGAAAATGACATGAATATGACAGCGGGCAAATGCATAAATCGCAGCATAATTTGAAATCAGTCACGAGTTTAAAGTTTGTCGATCGCGCGTCTCAGTGAAGCTGAACTCTCCTCCTGTCCGCATTCGATTCACACGGACCGACCGTCACAGAACACGCGACCATGCAGGTCACACGCACACTTCACAAGATCTCAAATAGATTCGACTAAGTCTGCAAGGTTTGTGAAATTAAATGTTCATTAGTCATTCAAAGATTTGTTTAAATTATATAAATGTGTATTTGCGCAATGCTGACGGCAAACGTGAAAGTATTACAATGTTTGCCTTTCTATTACTAATAATATTAAAGCAATCGTTATAATACTTTTTTGTATACATTTTAATTAATTTGTTTAACAGTTCTATCTGATAGATTAGATCTTATATCTGTATTAGACAGAACTGAATGACAACAGCGAACAAGAGGGAGAATTGTGAGCGGTGTGTGCTCAGGCGCTGCCGTCAAAATAAAAGTTCCGCCTCGAACACATTGGCCAAACAGAAAAACGTATCGGCCGATGCCGATATTTGAAAAAGGCCAGATATCGGCCTTGGCGATATATCAGTCGACCACTAAAATGTAATATAATGTAAACGTCGAAGTTTACATTAATCTTTGTTAAAATTACAAACGTTATTCAGTCGTGAGCAGTGAGTAATTTTCACTTTGTCTTCTGTTGTTTGGACAGACAGCAGCAGGTTTATTAGGTTGCTGTCACTTTAAGACCTAATGTACAGATCCAATATATTGACACACATACACACCTGTCCTCTGAGCGGATGCTCGTCCTCTCCGCGTGCCGCCCTCTGTCTGCTCCACCTGATCAGGCAACATCATTAGTGACACGCACAGGATTTCTGTTGAAAATCTGCAGATGAAACGATTCTGATTCATTACCGTGTCAGAGGCATCTGATGACTTCTGTTCCTGCTCGTCTGAGACAGATGCAGCGCCTGCATCAGACACACAGGTTATACTTAGACGTGCTCCACACAATCACACTCTCACCATCAGAAACACATAACTCCTCATCATCACTAACCTGTGTCTGTAGAGTCCGTCTGCGCAGGCTCCGCTGTGTCTGCAGTGAGGGTCTGCGCAGGCTCTGCTGTATCTGTGGTGAGGGTCTGCGCAGGCTCTGCTGTATCTGTGGTGAGAGTCTGCGCAGAGTCAGCTGTATCTGTGGTGAGAGTCTGCGCAGAGTCAGCTGCATCTGTGGTGAGGGTCTGCACAGACTCAGCTGCATCTGTGGTGAGGGTCTGCACAGACTCAGCTGCATCTGTGGTGAGAGTCTGCGCAGAGTCAGCTGTATCTGTGGTGAGAGTCTGCGCAGACTCAGCTGCATCTGTGGTGACGGTCTGCGCAGGCTCCGCTGTATCTGTGGTGAGGGTCTGCACAGACTCAGCTGCGTCTGTGGTGAGAATCTGCGCAAACTCATCTGTATCTGCGGTAAGGGTCTGAGCAGGCTCTGCTGTATCTGTGGTGAGGGTCTGCGCAGACTCATCTGTATCTGTGGTGAGGGTCTGCGCAGACTCTGCTGCGTCTGTGGTGAGGATCTGCGCAAACTCATCTGTATCTGCGGTAAGGGTCTGAGCAGGCTCTGCTGTATCTGTGGTGAGGGTCTGCGCAGGCTCTGCTTTAACTGTGGTGAGGGTCTGCGCAGAGTCAGCTGTGTCTGCAGTGAGGGTCTGCACAGACTCATCTGCATCCATGTCCTTTACGTCTACAGTGAGAGTCTGCGCAGACTCAGCTGCATCTGTGGAGAGGGTCTGCACAGGCTCATCAGTTTCAGTCTGTTTTGCGAGGGTCTGCGCAGGATCGGCTGCGTCTGGAGTGACCGCCGGCGTGGGTTCAGCTGCATCTTCAGTGAGGGTCTGCGCAGGTGGCTCAGTCATGTCTGCAGTAAGGGTCTGCACTTTCTCGGCAGCATCTGTAGTGAAGGTCTGCATGGATTCAGCTGTGTCTGCAGTGAAGGTCTGAGTTGACTCATCGGAGTCTACAGTGAGAGGCTGCACAAACTCTGTAGCATCTGCTGTGAGGGTCTGCGTGGGCTGAGCTGCGTCTGCATCGGTCGCAGGTGTAGATTCAGCAGCGTCTGCTGTACGCATTTGTGTGTCTCTCTCATCCATCTGCTCATCACCAATCTAAAAAGAAAAGCATAAACACATTACAGAAAACACTTGATTTAAAAAGCAGATTGAAAGCAACTTGATTAAAAGCAGCGGAGCTGTCTGCATCTAACAACTGTGATCGACAGCATGTCGCAAGAGTATTTTAGCGCACTCCAGCAAGACGTATTTCAGACAGGATTTCAAACCAGCTGAGATTCTGTGCAGTTAACTTGCTCATTTCATAGAGGACTAATAATCTGAGACTGCAGAAGCTACATTACAGTCAAAAGTTTTTGAACAGTAAGATTTTTTACATTTTTAAAGAAGTCTCTCCTGCTCACCAAGCCTGCATTTATTTGATTCAAAGTACAGCAAAAACAGTAAAATTTTCAAATATTTTTACTATTTAAAAAAAACGTTTTCTATTTGAATATATTTTAAAACTTAATTTATTCCTGTGATTTCTTTAGCATCATTACTCCAGTCACATGATCCTTCAGAAATCATTCTAATATGCTGATTTGCTGCTCAAGAAACTTTTATCATTATTATGATGAAAAAGCAGAGTATAATTTTTTCAGGTTTCTTTGATGAACAGAAAGTTCAGAATCAATAATAATCAGAAATGTTTCTGGAGCAGCATATTACACTGATTTCTGAAGATCATGTGACGCTGAAGACTGGAGGAATGATGCTGAAAATACAGCTGCACATCACAGAAATACATTACAGTTTAACAGATACTCACATAGAAAACAGCTACTTTAAATAGAAAAATATTTCTCAATATTTCTGCTTTTGCTGTTTTTTTTGGATCAAATAAACGCAGGCTTGGTGAGCAGAAGAGACTTCTTAAAAAAACGTAAAAAATCTTACTCTTCGTTCAAAAACTTTTGACTGCTAGTGTACGACATCATGTGTTTACCTCTGATGTCACTTCCTGTGACCCGAGAGGCTCCGCCTCCATGGGCTCCGCTGCAGATGTAGCGATTACGGCGGACTCGGTCTCAGAGCATTCCAACACACTTCCCGTGTCCTCGATGCCTACAGGAAGCGTCTCCACTGCGATCGGAGAATCTGCGGCTGTGAGATCCGAGGAGTGTGCGATATCCGGATCCATGGAGAGCAGAGCCAGCGCCGCTTCCTTCATCTTCCGATCGGCCTCCGCTTCTTGCTGTGAGGTGCGGACGTCCATCAGGCTCAAGAGGGCGTCGGCTTCTGCAGACAGTGGGCGGGGCTCTGCAAGCTCCGCCTCCTCGTCCTCAGATTCGGGAGTGACGTCGCTCAGGGCGGCGTAAGGGTCGTCAGGTAAAGGTGTGGTACTGGAGACGGTTTCCGGCGGGTTCTCCTTCCCTCCCAGCTTCCTGTCTGAATCTTTCTGCGCCTTCTTCTCACTCGTTTTCTTCACAACCTTTGCGTCCTTCGTTTTCTCCTCTGAGGTTTTCTTGTCGTCTTTTTTCTGTTCTGCAGTGCCTGGTTTAGTCTTGGCTTCGATTTTTTTCTCTGATTTGGGGTTCTGGGATTTAGACTTGTGTTTCTCCGTTAGGGATTTGACCTTCTGTCCTTCGGTTTCCGAGCCGGATTTCTGCGGATGAGGCTTGTCCGCAGACGAATCCTTTCTATCCATCCGCATCTTGGGCTTCTCTCCCGCTTTAGCCTCCGGGTGACTCTTCGACCTCTTGGGAATCTCTTTAGGCTGCTTGTCTTTCTTCCGGCTGACCTCTGAACCCGTCTCGACCTCTGACCTCTCCTCTGAGGAGCCGGTGGAGTCCAGACGCCGGAGCAGCTTCGGTTTCTCCTTCTCATTCACAGCCGTCTTTCCTTTCTTCAGGTTCCCTTCATCCGCAGCTTCAGACACACTCGTCTTGCCTTCTCGGGAAGACACGGAACTCTTCCTGTCTGGCTTGACCTTTGACCCCTTCTTCTCGTCAGCTGCTCCTCTCGCAGTCCCTCCGTCTTTCTCGTCGGCCGCGGCGTCTCCGCTCTTCCTGCTCTCCGTCTTGAGTTTGTGCTTGAGCCGTTCGTCAGGGACACCGCGCTCTTTCTCCTTCTCTTTGCGCTCTTTTTCTTTGGAAAGCGAGTCTTTCCGAACGGTTTTCCGGCGTTCCTCTGTCCCCAGCTCCAGGTCCAGGATGAAGGAGTGAATGCGGTTTTTGTCCGGGAGTTTCTCCTCGCTGTCGGTCTTCTTCCTGCGCTGCTCCTCCAGATCAGACGGCCGTCGCACTGCCTTCAGACCCGCGGGCTTCACCTGCAGAGGCGGACAGAAGCGTTAACTACAGAGAGACAGACAGAGAGAGAGAGAGCAGAGAACGAGAGACACTTACATCTTTATTGACTGAATCACCTTCAGTATCACTTTTCTTCCTCTCATCCTCTTTTCTGAAAAGAAACAGTCAGTCAGTACGTTTACATGGACAACAATATTCAGATTTTAACACGATTAAGACAATACTCTGATTAAGAATCTACCATGTAAACAGAGACTTTTGATTACCTTAATCCGGCTAAAGTCATACTTGAAGTAGGGGTGTGCGATATATATCGTCTGCGGTAATATCGTAATTGTTGTTTTAACGATGTGCGATTTAACATTATCGAGTATTTTGCAAAAACCATTCAAAACACCTCTACAGAGCGCATGCGTACATCACGTGAAGTCTAGACTAGTGCGAGCGCATTTAGCGTGTGTTCTTTCACTGCATGATTCAGGCTATTAAAATGCATTTAGAATGATCACAAATTCAAGACATGACGGCAGAACATGTATATATTTATACCACTTCATATAGTTATTCAATTTCACACGAAGAGTGCCGGTTTTCTCCAAATATTACCATGATTACAAATGTGACATTGAATTCAGTAAACAATAAGTTAATTAAGAGACTTGCGTTTTAGACACCATATTGCTTGTTTTTGCTCTATTTCACCAACAAAAATCATCCCGAATACAGCCACAGCGCTGTTCTGCATCTCTGAGCAACACGACGGTGTTTCGTTCCTGAATGAATCACTCGTTTAAATGATTCGGTTCAATCGCAATGACTCGCTTATTAACAGTGACTCGCTGCCACCTGCTGGCGGCTTTAATTTCACATTCCGGCTTTTACTTTCTTTGCTTTTTTCACGTTTTAAATCATTTCAAATATCAGTATTCAATGTTTTATGTTTAATATATCAAAACATTATTTATGCATTTGTAATTGCAGGTTAAATGCATTCATGTCTTGCATTAAACAAAATACACGTGTGTAAATACATCTAAATGCAGCTTCAGATGCAGCTTCTGTGTTGATTTAATTTGCTCGGTAACAGCCCATATGTCTTATTATTCTAATCCCCGATTAAATGTAAGAATTTGACTCAAAAGATAATGGACACTTTTAGAAAAAATGGCTTTATAAAGGTAAAAATGCCCATAAAACGCAAAAATCAGTTTAAACTTATTGGAAAAGATTAATTTCTATCAGTATGAACTGACCAGCACACAGAATATGAAGAATATTACAAACATTAGGAGTCAGCTGTCTTCGGCAGTCCTTAAGGTATCAGCACAATAACACTCAGCAAAATATCGTCTAATTATCGTCATCGATAAAATCCCAGAAAATATCGAGATATGATTTTTTGTCAATATCGCACACCCCTAACTTGAAGTAAGCAAATCGAATTAAGACATGTGGAGTATTCCTATTTTAGTCGCGTTGCTGAAGTGCAGTAAAGACATGTAAACACCTTAATCACATTATTAGGACTTTTCGCCGCATTTTGCGACAGGATACACACACGGCAGTGTTCAACCGTTTAACGGCAAATAAAAGAGCATAGCTTCAACCCCACCATCGGCTGTTAGCACGTATAGCATGACAAATAATTAACTGCACTTGAAGCTTTGTAGACAACCACAACTGTTTCTGAGGAGCTACATTGTTTGGTGGAAGAAC